CTCAAACAGGCGTAGGCTTCACTCCTCACAGAAGAGGAAGAGACAAACACATGTGCAAAATATATCACATTTTCATATGTAGTTTGTGACATAAAACATTCCTAAAGATGTTGTAATACTTATTTAATACTGGTCAAACATTTACATAAGGTGGGTAAAGATGTAGAAAGAGGTAAATAAGTGGAAAATGCCATTTCCAGAACATGCTTCTTTAACTGTTTCATTGCAGAACGCAAGCAACTCCATGCTTTTGAACAATTATTTTAACTTGGCCTTTTACTGTCCCTATCAATAAACCTCCAAACCTGCCTGAAGTATACACATATGCACAGATATTTAGAGGGTGGCAGCAAAAATGCTCACCTGCACTGAGCATACTCCAGCCCCAGAACGCTCACTATGCAGGACTTTCCTGTAATCTCTTCTACTGATGTTGATACTCCATAATTGATAGCTCTCACGTTCTCACTGCTCCCTTTCTGACAACCAAGGAGAAGCAGGAGAAAGAGGAGAGGAAGAGCAGGTGGAAAAGGAGAAGGAAGGTGCTTCGACTGCAATGCAGGGGAAAAGGAAAGAACAGTAAAAAAGCAGAGACTAGAGTGGGAGTGCGTACAAGGTGATGAGACAAAAGTGTCAATGACCGCTGCTGCAGTCTCTCTCCAGAACTTTTACTGGGGCCCTAGATTCCAGGGGACCACACGTGCATATTACTGTGATGCAATAAACTCTGACACTTATTGTTTATCTGATACTGTGTTTACACATGTGCCTGGGACCATAACATGTTGAGCTAAATCAGAGGAGCCCCAGCTGGCAAGGGGACAGGGGATCAGCCTGCCAGGCCAAGGCTGCTTTCACCTGGCTCAACGTGCCACAGAGGGGCTAGCTGGAGGACAACAGTGCTCCAATGTGGGATATCCCCGTCAGTATCTACATATGCACTGCAGTGGAGTAAATCTCTCCACTGTAACATAGTATCTAGTGCAGTACTAGTCTGCTGCAAAGTTTATTACTTTACTCCAGCCTAAAGCTCTGCCAAGATGTTTACTGCAGAGATAATTAGCCAGGATCTGGGTTTTTCATTTCCCACAGAAAAAAATGTGGATTTCCACATTTACCTGAGAAAAATGTGGATTTTTTATTTTAAATGAAGAAACCCACAGAGCTTGCAAGAGACTGGGAGGAGTGAAAGGAGGGTGGTCAGGCAGGGGGTGCCATGTGCATGTATGTCTGGCAGGGGAGGAAGGTGGGATTGAGGTCCCCATAGGGAGGGAGAGAGTGAGTTGGGCAGGGCTGGAGTTGGGGCCTGTGCTGGCTGAGGGGGGGATCCAGGTTCTGTGTCCTGGTACTCTGCAGCAGCCATTGCCTCCCACAAGTGGCAGCCAGGACTTGAGTGCTGCTGCAGGGAGCAGGGACCTGCTGACCTATGTACCTGGCCCCATAGCCCTGGCAGCTGGGGGCCCCCTCTGGCAGGTGGGAGCAGAGGGCTGTGGGTGAGGAAGTCAGGGGCACCAGCAGGGTTGGGAGTCTGTGGGAAAGGGGGAGCGAGGGGCTGTAGGGGCAAGTAAGGGGCACCAGCAGGGCTGTGGCTCAGGATTGAGGGGCCTGGACCTGTGTTCTGTGAGCTCAGGGGACAGTGGGAGCTCTGATTTTCCATGATAAAAAACCCAAAATCAAATAATAGAATTTATAGGTATTTAGAATTTATCTTATTATAGTGATTGAGACACTGGTAGGCAGCCAAATTGCGTTAAAATTGTAAATATGTCAATAAAAATTGTGTTCACTTGACACACACACACACATATATAGCAGCATTTCATTTTAATAATGGATTTTGGGGGGTTTATCAGAGAATTTGTGATTTTTTTTTAAATCAGAGAAGACCAGGATCCTTACTAATTAGTCTACTCAGCAGTAAATGCCTCATGTAGATACCAAGAATTCTAAAATAAGGATCTGGTCACTGGCAGGCTTAGCTTTGGCTGAAAACATGAGAAAACCTGGTCTCTGCTCCAAAACCTACATTCCACTCAGGTCTGTGCACATAAACTTTAAATAACTATGAGAACAAGTAGGAAAAATTGAGATATTATCAATATTTTTTCTGGGCATCTGATTATTACAAAATCTAATGCAAGAGACTAATTCCAGCATCTTGTTTTGTCTGTTTGTCCTCCCAGTTCAGGTTTCCTGTGTTCTGCCCACTTCCTGCCTGCTCCCAGAACCCTACATACACAGTTCTCTTCCTTGTACCCACATTAACTACACCATCCATAATCATAACGTCACGTGCCAGGAGTTACCACTCTTTTATTCCTTTGGTCCTTCATCCATCTTGTCCTCTTTTCCTAGCTAGCCCTACTACTATATTTTTTCACACTCTTATCATGCCCTTCTTCATTTTCAGCACATGTAGAACTCTGCTGTAAGGGGAAAAACACAGTGAAGCAATATTATTTCCCCAACCTACCAACTTTTGTCTCTGGCTCCACTTGGGAGTGCAGTCTGAAAATAATGATAGGTCTTAAGAGGTATATTTTACTGTTGCATGTTCACTTTTAAAATGCCAAGTTTTCCCCTTTTTTAATAAGTAGGAGAAAGCAAAAGGAAACATTGCATTTTCCCAAGTTTCCCAAGACAGTTATAGAGTAGGATGATGAGATTGAAATGAAAAGTAATTCAGTCAATCATAATGTAAAAGTGTTAGTTGGGATACTATAAAAAAAGATTTAGCTGGTATCCCCATAGATCAAGAAGCTTTACTATATAGCTACTGCCAAACTTTCATGAATGATATATTTAATTTTTTTAAGATATATCTCCCTGCAAAATTTAGATGAGGCCTGAATAAGGAGAACAGGAGTCCACACCAAGGGTTCAGCACCCATACATATATTCAGATTGTCAGGAAATATTATTAACTAAGATAGGGTCTTCATAAAGACTTGATCTAACTCCAGATTTCCAGGACTTTTGAGCAGGTACATGTATATTGCCTTCAAGTAATTCTTCCAGGCTTTTCCTCCTACTATATGCTGGGAGGTTTTTAAGATTCAATCCTGTATCTGTTAATTTCAGTAGTAAACTCTGCATAGTCTTTATGCAGGATCTAGTGGATTCTGTGTGGACATTCAGGGCACCAGAACTTTCCTATATGTATCACACTGTCAAATCTCATTACCTTACTTTAAGTTGATCCTAATAACAATAGACACAGACACGCCAATGAAAATTATCCTCCTACAGTTAAACAGTCAATAACATGGGTTTGAAAAGCCTGCAGCCTACAGATAAACGTCTTTAGCAGCTATTCTTCAGGTGCCATGTACTCATAGCAGGAATTTTTTCCATGAACTATAAATTAGTATCTTTAAAAAATAAATCAGGTAGTTAGACCTATTAGTTTTAAGTTAGGCAGAAGGCAAAGCAGGGTGGCAATACATTCCATATTTTATAGACCATTTGGATAGACTTACTGAGTTGCTCCTAAGTCTCATGAGGCAGACCATGGGAAACAGGAGGCGAGATCGTGGGAAAAATGTATTACATAAAAATGCTGGAACAAATCCGTGGCAGCAAGAAGTTCACGGTTATCATTATCCAGCACATTATAGCTACTTAAACCTCCCATGGTGAGAAGTCAGGCTACAAGTAACTCAGTATTTCTTTTTCAGCAGCAACCTTAAGCTAAAGGAGAATCTCCATTAGCAGTAGTGTCTAATGAACAGATTACTAGTTCTGATTTTATCTAGTAGAGAGCATAAGAAACTGTTTGTATACAGTACATACACTATCTAGACAGTGTCCACACATATCAAATACTCTAGAGAAAGGAGTAATGGAAAAAATAATACAGGCTTTCAGTGGGGACTGGAATAGAACTAATCACAAATGTGGTAAATAGTTATTCATATTAATACATGACAAGGGCAAGACAACAATTTTAAAAGGGTTTAAAACATGAAGCAGAGCTCTTAGCTTAATGATGGAGAACTACTGGACTTGAAGTTTGAAAAGAATGACTTCCAGTGAATGGCAATGAGCTTAGCCCAAAACTTTAGGCATTGTATTTTATTTTAAGACACGTTTTCAAACAACTATGCAATTTTTCCCAATGATAAAGCCAAAGTTGCAGTGGAAATATGAGTACATATATGATATCCTTATAACACTAGTCAAACATGACTTACCGTCTTTATAATGAAAAATGCATCTTCCTTAAAGGGCTTAAGACTCCTCAGGCTTCTCACTGGTGTTTAAAGTTATTTTAAATGGACGTTTATAACCTAAGATTGCCTCTTCTGATGCAAATATGCAGGTTAATAGTACTTAAATATGCATGCCTTTCATAAAACATTTATACTTACATTTTATACAAACATAGATGCACTTAACATTATAAAATGTTAAACTTATCTAAAACTAATACATACAATTAAATACTGATCCAGCTTTCTTAGTATGCACAAACTGAGCATTAAACTGTATGGGAATTTTAGGTGCATTGGGCATAAATAATAGGCCTTCAATCTAGCATAATTTGCTAATTCACTAAGTTATTTCTATGGCTTATGAACACAAATCATTAGCAGTTATACATTTACTCTACTTGTAAAAAAGAATAATACTTACACTCACTTGATCACTAGTTGTTCTTCACTGAAGTTAGTATTCTCCAGGGCGATTTTCAGACTTCCTTTCTAACCTTTACCTTAAAAAAAAAACAGAAAAAAAAACTGTTTGTAAAAATGTCATTATATATTTAACTATATTCATTCCTCAAACTTGTGAAATTTGGAATGTTAATTCAAGATGTTCTATATTGCTTCAGAATGCTTTAAATACATAAAACTTCACACACACACACACACACACACACACACACACACACACACACACACACACAG